AGGAGGAGGAGGAGGAGGAGGAGGAGGAGGAGGAGGAGGCGGCGGCGGCTGCACAGGGAAGGAAGGACTGCAGGGAGAGCTGGGGCAGCACTGCTCATGTTCTGGGCACACTCATGTTCTGGGCACACTCATGTTCTGGGCACACTCCGCCGCAGTTCCGTGGTCGGGCCTAGGACCTGCCAGAGGAGGACTTGAGAGTTCAGGAGTTAGGGCCTGGGGCTGGACATGTGATAGGAAGGATCACGTGCAGCTGTGACAGTAATAAATCCCTACCGAGGAGAGCATCATGGAACCGCTGTCCACCACTTGCTTCTGGAGGCGTCGGCAGGCAGAGGCAGGACAGTTGCATCAATTTTGCAAAGGTCCCTGTGAGTCTGGCAGCCCTGGAAACAGCTTCTGAGTGGCATCTTAAGAACGGAGAAGGAAAGGGGGCATCCTGGCCAGATAAACCACAGGATACCCTGTTAAGTTTGGATTTCAGATAAACACTCTTTTTGAATCTTGTACAGCCCATGTAAAATTTGATATATGCTTGGTATGTTCTTATACTAAAAATGAATTCAGTGGGGGCTGGAGAGACGGTCCTTCCAGAGGACCCGAGTCAGGTTCCCAGCACCTGTGTGGGGAGGCTTGCAATCACCTGTAACTCCAGCTCCAGGGCATCCAACCTTCTGGCCTCTCTGGCAGAATGCTACACACGTGGCATTCATTCACAGAGTCACACACATACAAATAAGTGAGAACCATATAAATATACGGTCAACTATTTGTCTTTCTCAGAATTCTATTTAACTTGGTGGTCTTCTATTTTTATTACGTTTATTTATGTCCTGTGTGTGTGAGTGTACGTGTAGTGTGGATGTCAGGGGACACACTGGCAGGAGCTGCTTCTCGCCTTATACCACGAGGATTCTGTGGATCAAATTCAGGTCATCAGGCTTGGCAGCGAAGACTTACCGGCTGAGCCGCCTTGCTGGCCCTTTCTTTTATTCCGCTTTTGAGATGATATCTCAGCCTAGACTGACCTCTGACTACTGCACAGTGAGGGAGAACTTTGGACTCTTGATTCTCCTGCCTTCCCCTCCCAAGTGCTGGGATTACAGGCATGCACCTTCACACTCCATTTTTATGGGGTTCTAGAAATGAGGGAGGGCAAAAGGGAAGAGACGTGGGAGGAGGGGGGAGCTCAATGTTATGGTATCTGCACAACATGTGCAAGGTCCCAGTTCATCCCCAGCATGTGGTGGTGGTGGTGGTGGGGGGGGGCAAAGGAGAAAGGAATGAGGAGAAGGAGAGGAGCATGGGTCGTGGAGTGACCACCTCTACTGACTTCCTTGCCCGATCTGTACAGAGTACAAAGAATGCTTCTCCCTGTATGACAAGGAGCAAAGAGGGAAGATTAAGGCCACAGATCTTCTGGTGTCCATGAGGTGCCTGGGGGCCAGCCCCACGCCTGGGGAAGTGCAGCGGCACCTGCAGACTCATGGGATTGGTGAGTGGACCGTCCAAGTGGGCTTGAGAAGGGCCCAGCTGGGAGAAGCAGATGGTGGTGGTGGAGAAAGCTCAGAAGCCTGAGGTGCTGGTGGTAATGTGCCTCACCAGGACTGAACTGTAGAGGTAGCTGGCCATGTATACATACAGTGTTTCATTCCCAAGGGGACCCTGGTCTGATGTCCCACCAAGTCTGTCCCCAGGAAAGCACACTAACACTGGTCCCAGTGGCTTTTCCCCCCTTTGCTTTAATTTTGAGATAGGGTCTCATGTAGCCCAGGCTGATCTTGAACCCACCTTGTGCTAGCTCAGGGTGATACTGAGTTCCTGATCCTCCCGAATGCTGGGCTTACAGACGTGTGTTACCACACTCAGCTCTTATATTTATGGGAAAACAGCCTTTTGCAGAGAGTTTGGCATATGCTTAGTGAAATCAGCCCAGCTGTAACAAAGGCCCATAAGTGCCGGCCTCAAGGACCTTCTCTGAGTCTGAAGAAGACTCTACCAGCAGCTAAGGATCCAATCTGAGGGATAAGGAAATGAATCTATGCACACACATGATGCTCTTTCAGTCCATGTCTTTATTGTTCTAAGTAAACTTCTTTAAATCTACAGCTTCTTTTCAGCTTTTCACTCTTAGCTCCTCTCTTGCCTGACTATCCATACATTTCTAATCAGAGATTCCTTGCAATCCTGGAAAAGTTTCAAAACCCTCAAGGCCATAGCACATTCCTAGAATAGACAGTGAGGGGCAGAGCCATTACCGTGGCAGTGCAAGGTTTCAAGGTTCCAGGACCAGACAGGGAAGGCACAGTGCCCAGTGACAAACTCTGAGACACAGGTCTACTGTCAGCAGACTCGGCAAGCGCAAAACTGGCAGGCTTTTCTAGGGTGTTCTGTGTTAGTAACCTTGGTAAGACCTTGTGTATAGCTGTAAAGTTTTAAACTTATGATCTATTTACAAAGGCCTTTAGTCTAGTTTGAACTTGCTCTGAGGTAAAAAATAACCTAAAAGCGAGTAGTTTGTGTTAGACTGAGGAGAGATTATTATTTTCTGTGTTAGTCTGAGCAAAAGGAACAAAGCAGACTTTTAGTGTCTACAGTCTCATGGGACAATGGATCTGGCTATGAAGCATATCCTAGCATATTTTTTATATATCAAAATTATACAGCTAAATGAAAAGCCATCTTCCTGACCACCCACATATATATGTGCCCATATGACCGAGATGTAATCATGAGATTACACATATACATCGCATGAAGATGCATGGTAATGGGGAGATATCATAGTGTAACTGCACAAGAACTTTACAGCAAGAAACAGCCAATTCAATCAAAAGGCAGTAACTCCAACACACCTTGTGTGCTGGCTTAGTCCCCTCCCAGAACCCTTGGTTCTGACAGGTTGACCTTTTGAACACTAGTTGTCTCCTGCTGTATACTTCCATGGCCTTTTGCTACCAGCAGCTCTCAATACAGCTGTTTAAGTCTCTGTGTTGTTATTGAGGAGCTGGCAATCCCACAAAAAAAAAGATCGACTACATTTGAGAAAGCTTGCTACATTTGGTGCCCAACTGTAATAGTACTTTTCTTGTCAGGACCACCAGCTCGCAAATAACATATATTAATTAGCTCTTATAATTTAATTAACATCTTTCTATTAATCTATGTTCTGTCACATGACAGTACCTCTCTTCTCTTCCATCTTGCACCTCCTGTTTCCTCCCTGTGTCTGGCTGGTGATTCTACCTTTCTTCCTCCCAGAGTTCTCTCTCTGCCCTGAAGTCCCGCCTATACCTCCTGCCTAGTTACTGGCCATTCAGCTTTTTATTACATCAATCACAGCAATACATCTTCACAGTGTACAAATATCCCATAACATTTCCCTCTTTTTGTCTAAATAAAAAGGAAAGGTTTTAACTTTAATACAGTAAAACTATATATAATGAAACAATTATCAGGTAACAATTACATTTACAATTTCTAGTTCATTTGTATTTGGAATTTTGGAGAAAATAATCTATTGTCTATGCTATCTTGATGAGTCAAAAGGTTTTTTTGTTTTGTTTTGTTTTGTTGAGGCAGAGTTTCTCTGTGCAGCTTTGGAGCCTGTCCTGGAACTCTCTCTGTAGCCCAGGCTGGCCTTAAACTCACAGAGATCTGCCTGCTTCTGCCTCCTGAGTCCTGGGATTAAAGGCATGCACCACCACTGTCAGGCTGAGTCCAAAGTTTTATACCTAAGCCATTTTCTATCATAACTTGTATTATCATCCTAAAAATATCTTTTAGACCTTAAAGCATTTTCTTAGATAAACAACTTAAGCTTTTATGTCTCTCAACTTGATAATTGTTCTTATTGTATATAGTTTTACTGTGTTAGAGTTAAAACCTTCCCTTTTTATGTAGATAAAAAGGGGGAAATGTTGTGGGATATTTGTACACTGTGTGAAGATGTATTGATGTGACTGGTGTAATAAAAAACTGAATGAGCCGGGCGGTGGTGGTGCACGCCTGTAATCCCAGCACTCAGGAGTCAGAGGCAGGCGGATCTCTGTGAGTTCAAAGCCAGCCTGGGCTACCAAGTGAGTCCCAGGAAAGGCGCAAAGCTACACAGAGAAACACTGTCTCAAAAAACAAACAAAAAAACCAAACCAAACCAAACCAAAACAAACAAAAAACAAAACAATAAAAAACTGAATGGCCAACAGCTAGGCAGGAGAGAATAGGTGGGGCTTCCGGGCAGGGAGAAAGAGGAAGTCAGAGGTATGAATCAAGGTTCGTGGGAAATGCCAACAGGATGCAGAGTAAGTAAGAATAGGAATAGGAGGAAAGGTAACTGAACTACATGATAGAACATAGATTAATAGAAAGATGTTAATTAAGTTGTAAGAGCTAGTTAGAAAAAAGCCTAGGCTAAGGTCAAGCTTCATAATCAATAATAATCTCTGTGTTGTTATTTGCAGGTTGGCAGTCCCAATGAGAAAGTACTATTATATAGCTCCATCTGGTCCTATGCCATGATTCACTACTCTGAGTTTCTGTTGTCATCTTAGCAAGCAAGATTGGGGGAGGGATTAATAAGCATAGTGTCTTATGCTGCTTTGTTTTGTTTTTTTCTGTTGCTATAAAATACCCTGACCAAAGCAACTTAATGATGGAAGGGTTTATTTTAGCTCATGTGTCAGGTAAAGTCTATCATGGCTTGAAGCACCTGATCACATAGTAATAAAAAGGTAGCAATGAATGTGTGCATGCTAGGACTCAGCCCGCTTCTCCATTCTGATATAATTGGGAATGGTGCCATCTATGATGGACTTGTCTTTCACATCAACTAACAAAATCAGGATGGTCCCCACAGGTATGCCCACAAGCCTTTCAGTAAGGTCCTAGGTTCTGTCAAGCTGACATCAACACTATCACACATTGTTACTGAAGACTGTTGGCAGGGTGAGATGGAGACTTTTCATCCTGGGGTCAGGAGAGCTCTGTCCTCCTTACCATGACCAGTGCCTTGAGAACTAGGTAGCCTTGGGGCTGGCTCTGACAGCCAGCCAGTTTCCTCCAGCTCACTGTGCTGTTTGGGGTTTCCAGACAAACATGGAGAGCTGGATTTCTCCACCTTCCTGACCATTATGCACACGCAAATCAAACAAGAAGACCCAAAGAAAGAAATCCTTTTGGCCATGCTGATGGCAGACAAGGAGAAGAAAGGTTACATCATGGCATCTGAGTTGCGGTCAAAACTCATGAAGCTGGGAGAGAAGCTCACTCACAAAGAAGGTAACAGCCTGGCCAACTTGACTCTGAACCGTCTGGGGGAGGGTTAGAGAATCTCAGGGAGGACAATGCTGTGTACACCACCCAAGGCCGTGCAGATGGCCAATTGATGAATGGCACAGAAGCTTTTAAGCACAAGTCAAGCTGGCTGAGGGCTGGACTGGGGCTCCAGGCAGAACCAGAGGGGACAGGCAGAAGTGGGCCAGGGTAGAGGGTCAGCCCAGAGACCCCAGTTGGGGTCCTAGGAATGGTGGTGGCTATTTTCATGTGAACAGTTGGGGCGTCTGTCATTGGGGGTCTTGATGTGACTCACAATGGCCAGGGATGCAGCCAAACACAGAATCCTGAGCTTACTTTAAACATTTTAAGTGTTTTGTTTTGTTTAAAGAACTTTACTGTGTGGTTATCAAATATCAACTTTGTAGGTGATATTATTCTGTCATAATGTCAAAAGGCCATGACAGGGGCTGGGGAGATGGCTCCATAGGTAGTTTGCCCCACAAGTATGAGGACCTGAGTTTGGATCCTGGGGACCTGTGTAAAAAAGCTGGACGAGTCTGTGTGGCTGCCTGTAATTCCAGAACTCACTCAGGAGGCAGAGACAGGATGCCAGGACAAGCTGGCTAGCTAGACTAGTCTGAACTGTGGGCTCCAGGTTCAAGGAGACTCTGCCTTAAACAAAGGTAGATAGCCATAGAGGAAGCCACCAGATGTCAACCTCAGGCTTCCACAGGCATGTTGCACACATGTGCCTCCACACAAATGAACAGGCATACCCATGTGCACACAAGCTCCACACATTAGAAGCTATGACACAGGACACGCTGGCAACACCAGTGGCCCTTCAGTTGATAGAAAGGGCCAACTGACTGAGCAGCTCTTGAGTGGAGCTGAAGCAGAATGCAGGGTCCTTCATTCCCAGGGCCATCCTCTTACCACTGCTGGCTCTCATGTGGCCACTGATGGTGTTTCCAAATTGAGAGGCCATTGTGCTCCTGCCCCCAGCAGCTCTAGGAGCTGGGGGTATGAGAGCTTTTCAGAGAAAAACTTGCTAAAGAAACCTGCTCTGGCCACAGATCAGGAGATAGTCTTGCCTGTTACATTCCTTGCTTCAGAGCAGGATAAGGGCACGGGGATTCTGAGACAGCTTTAGGTACATGCTTGGGCTATTTGCAATCTTTCCAGCCTGACAGCACTGTTGGCAGCCCTGGTGCTGACACAGTTGTGGACCAACGGCCTGGCCCTAATCTTCATCATTGATCTCCAAAGCCAGGCTTTTCAGGTTGGCTGGCCAGCTTGAGGGCTTAGCTTAGGCACAGTGGGTTGAAAAGGACCCAATACCCACAACTTTTGGTCCGATTGCAACTAACCAGAACAAAGGTTTCAGGTTGTGGTTTGAATTGAGTTTGACTCTGGGCCCTTCCTTTAGGGAGCCCTGGAATGTGACAGACATCCCTGGGGTCCTCTAAGAGCTAGCATTCTATGGACCAGCCTGCTCAGATTTTATCTGCACTCATGAAGGTCCTGACCAAAGCCTTTAGACACAGTGCCTGGCAGGTAGATTCATCTCCCAATTCCTCTCAGTTGGCAGCTTTTACTGCAACTGTTTTTCATGTGAAGGGGAAAATGGCCTGCCCTTACCTCGGACTCCCATGACACTGATGGTGGAGTGTCCTCTGAGGTGGTTAGTGATCTGTCTACAGTAACAGGTCCCTGGACTTCCCTCACGTGTTAACCAGCACAACCCACTCAGAAGGAACTGATGGAGACTCATCTTCCTCTTGGCTGCAGTGAAACACAAGATACCAAAAGTAGTAACTATTTCTTCTGGGGATTTGGAAGAAATGGTCTGTTCTTTTCGGAAGCATTTTTTTTTTTATCATGTATAGCACCCTCACCAGCCATCACCCGGCTGTGGAGTGCTGCCTCCTTCTGGTCAGCACTGGGCTGTAGTGTGCTGTCCACTTCTGGTCTGTCACTGATGATGGAGCTGATCCTTGCTTGGCCTGTCCAACTGGCTGGAGGTTAGAAGCTTTCCCATGAAATACAATGCATCTGTCTCCTCAGGCTCAGAGCACCTATGGGTTTGAAAAGAGAAAACTACATTCTATCTATCATCTACCTATGTACCTATGTACATATCTATCTATCCATCATGTATGTATGTATGTATGTATGTATGTATGTATCTCTCTATCTATCTGACATGATCTCACTATATAAATCAGGCTAGCCTTAAAACCAGAGATTCACATGTCTCTGTCTCCAGAGTTTTGTGATTAAAGGTGTACACCACGATATCTGGCTAAATTAGTATCTTTTTCAAAAGCAATGCTATTTTCAGAAAGATCTCATGTGGCAAACATGGTGGCACAGGCCTTTAATCTGAGCACTTGAGGCAGAGGCAGGCTGAGCTCTGCTGAGTTCCAGCCTGCCAGCCTGGTCTGCACAGTAAGTTCTAGGTAGTGATACCATCTCAAAACAACAAAACAAACAAAAACCTCATAGAATTTCAGAGAATCCATGTGGGCATGGGTTAAATAAAATGAAAAAAAAAAAAAAAGATCTTGTGTATGTACCAGTGTGAGGGTATGTCATATATGCAGAGGTACCCCAGGAGGGCAGAAGATGGCATCAGATCCCCTGGGACTGGAGTTAAAGGCAGTTGTGAGCCACCTACATGTCTACTGGGAATGAAATCAGGGTCCTCTCAAGAGCAGTTTTAACTGCTGAGCCATCTTTCCAGCCCCTGAACAATGCAGTTTGATGCTTTGAACTTCAGATGCAGTTGGATTTTTTTTGCATGTACATTGACAAGATGCATTTCAAATTAAGCTAGGGATCCAACTCCAAACCCAAGGTGCACATAAGCCAAGTGCTCTTGTCACCCAGCCTTCTGCAATGAGGTGATGATAACAGAGAGCTTGTCACTCTGTCTTCTGTCGGCAGGGGGCAGCGATGGGAGATGTGGGCTTATCTGGAGGAGAGGGGCAGGTGTGAGCTTGAATCAGTGTGGCTGTGTTTGGAGCTGGGGATGATGCCTGCATGACTGGAAGGTTGCAAGGGTAGGCTGTAAGGTAAAATATCCCTGCTAAAGGTTTCTTGAAAGACAGACACAGAGGTCAAATGTTTCTTTAAAAGAGTTTTGTGCTGGCTGCCGAGTCTGCTGACCTGAGTTTGATCTCTGGAACCCACATGGTAGGAGAGAGCTGATTCCCACAAGTTGTCCTCAGACCTCCACACATGTGGCATGGACAATAACCCCCACCCTCAATAAAGAAATAAATGTTAAAATTAAAATCAAGTACAAGGCAGTCTCAGTGACTGAATCCTCACCAGTATACTCTGCTATATGCTGGGCCCTGTACAGAGTGGGAAAGTTGAACCAAGTGGTCTCTGGGGGCCTTGGAAGCAGGTTATCCTTCCTTTTTTGGTTTGTGGCCCAGTCCATGGGAAAAGTCCATCAGGTTCTCAGGGAAGACTTCTGGGAACCCCTAACCTCAGCAAACCCAGACTGAAACATTAATGTGATTTATTACAGTGGACGATCTTTTCAAGGAAGCAGGCATCGAACCAAACGGCCAAGTGAAATATGACACATTTATCCAAAGGATCACCCTTCCTGTCCAAGACTACTGAGGGAGCTGAGATCCAGGGAGCGGAGTATGAGAGCTCCAGGGCCTGAAAACCCAAACTGACTCATTTTTTAAAAGGGAATCTAAGATGGCAAACATGACAAGAAGACCACGCGGCACAACTGCTGCAGGGACTAAGTACCAATAAATGATGCCGCCATGGTATGACGCACCTGTAATGAGGTCTGTACTGAATGTAGACTAACTAGTTAGTCTAGCTCCTTGCAGCATGGAAGGGCCTATGATTTGAAGTCAGGTGTGTGCGCCAGTGCTGGCTCTGCAGCTTCATTACCCTCACCTTGGGTAGACCATTGTGCTTCTCAAAGCCTTTGGATCTCAGAGGATGAAGATCATGACTTGAAAATGATTGGCAACTTGGGAGCATGTGCAATCGGCATTTCCATGGTAGTGTTTCTCCAAATGAACAGTCTGCCAGAAGACCAGCCTGCTTTTGGGTACAAGAACCAACTTCGGCACTTCCAAGATAAGGCTAGGGTCGGCTGGGAACAGGGAATAAGCAAAGTACATGCACACGCATGCACATACAGAGAGCAATGAGGACACACACACACACACACACACACACACACACACACACACACACCAACAAGCACTGTGCACATAGACACAGGGCAACAAGGACAAAGCATGGGCACACAGACACCATTTCTTACAACTCTACAATCCCACTGACAAATCTCCATTTTCAGTTTACCAGCAGGATGCTCTTTCATAAACAGGTATAAAGTGGAAACACACATTAGAGTGAGTGCTAAGTGTAGGATCAGTGGAGTAGTGGGAAGTGATCCAACTTTATATTCCACACCAAAGGAAGTGGGAGGCGTGGCCCCTTCAGAGGCCTTGCAGAGTTAAGCAGGCCTCTGATGCTCCTGGAAGAATGTGCTGAAGCTCTGTCCTGACCATTATTAGGTTCCAGGAATTAGGATGGTCTGCTCAAGTGATCTGGGATCACCTCAAGTGACTTTAAGCCACTTTCTTGGAACTAACAGAATAAGGGGATATACCAGGCCGTGTCCAGAATCTGAGAGGCCCTGAAATCAGGAGCAGGAAGCAGTGGCTCACCCAAAAGTACCCCTGGGACACACCAACACGGGCGGGTAGAGCTCTTGAACAGGAGGCCCTTCATTCCTGTGTTAGGACTGGCTGTGGCTTTGTTCCTTAGCGAAAGCACAAAGATGTATCAAGTCACGAGTGTCCTTGGGAAGTTTGACCAGAAACACATCTTTTACTAAGGTCTAGGCTCTGGAAACACTCCAGGGGACCAAAGAGTGTCAGTCTTGATTCAGCTACCTCACATACACTGTATAGCTCAGACCAAACAGAAGACCTGAGAAAGGAAGGCCTCATTTTCCTGAGAGTACATACTATGTGTTCCCTGAGAAGCTTGATTATAGGCAACCTGGCAGATTCCTTTAATACAAAAAACAGGCTAGATAATAGTGGCACATCCCTTCAAAGAGGATTTTGGTTTGTGGCCAACATGATATACAAAGCAAAAGTCTGTCTGGGAAACATAAAAATAAAAAATGAATTCTGGGCTGTTCTAGGGAGCCTGAAAGCAGCCAGAGAGCAACACATGGGAAAAATCTTCTTGACTCCCATAGCAAGTCCTCCTGGGGGAGGCTAGAGCTCCAAAGAGAAGGCTCTAGTTCCCTGCTGCATGGGAAGGTTCCAGACCCAACACCTCTGACTCCAGCCATGCATTCAGAAGCACATGCGTTGTTCACCAGTCTAGAATACCAAAGACCTGACAGGTGCTCTGGGCTGATGCTGTATGTGGGACAGGGTGAGGATAGTCTGGACCCTTACAGAAGAGGTTCTTCCCAACGTGTTCTGATGTCTGTCAGCAACTGTTCTTTTTTTTTTAAAGATAGGGTCTCGTGTATCCCAAATTTACCTCAAATTTGTGGAGGATGCCCTTGAACTTCTGGTCCCCCTGCCTCCACCTCCTGAGTGCTGAGATAACAGGTGTGCACTGCTATGCCTCCTTTATTTGCTGCTGGGGACTGAGTCCAGTGCTTCTTCATACATGTGGGTGAGCACTCTGCCAAATACTCCCAGCCTTCTGGTAGAGCCCCTATGCCCACTCCGGCTTTTTTTTGAGACTGGGTTTCAATGCAGACAGGGTCTATGTAGCCCAGGCTGGCCTCGAACCCACAGAGATCTGTCTGCCTTTGCCTCCTGAGTGTTGGGATTAAAGGTGTGCACCACTGGACCAGGCGGTGGTGGCGCACGCCTTTAATCCCAGCACTCGGGAGGCAGAGGCAGGCGGATCTCTGTGAGTTCGAGGCCAGCCTGGGCTACAGAGTGAGTTCCAGGAAAGGCGCAAATCTACACAGGGAAACCCTGTCTCGAAAAAAACAAAAACAAAACAAAACAAAAAGTGTACACCACCATATCCTGCCCGCGGTGTAGTTTTAAAGCATGTTTTCTGAATCTTACTTGGCTGAGTGGAATCTCCAGTCCTGCTTGCAGAGCGCTTGGCTAATGGGCCGTCTGCATAACCTGGGCTGACCTTCCCACTACTGCTCTAGTCATGATGGCAAAGTGAGCTCAAACTCCTCAAGTCCGATTTACACAGCACCATCAGGAAAGGCTGTGGCTTCAGGGTCCCCACTTGTGCATTCCTCAAATTCCAACGGGTTTACCTAGCCCCAGGTCTGCTCACTATAAATACTGGAGGTCCAGGTGTTTGGACAGCCGACAGACAACAGATACCGCTAACATTAAAGGTGCTGTGGTTCAGTGTAGAGCTGGCTGTATTCTAGTAAGGAAAGACCTCAAAGCATGACGTGGAGACAGCAGTTACTTGTCATGCTTGGAAACCTCTGACTGACAGGGCCCTGGGAGCACGCTACATCAGCACTGTTCTCATCCCTTAGAGACCCAGCAGTAGTACTTTACAGAACACAAATTAACTGAAGGCTTTTCTTTTATTACATCTAAAGAGCTCTACATAAACAGGTAACATTCAATAAGGAAACAACTTTTCTCCAATGCATGTAATAAATATTTTCACTTGGTACTTTTATACAAACTGACATTGGTCTACTATACATTTTTAAAAGCCATTTTACTGGTTTGGCATGCGGTATGGAAATTCTAAGAGAGAAAGTTTTAAGGCAATGAATCACAGATTTAAGTTCATGGAGTTTATGGTAACTTTTATCTATTTATATACATTTCCCCTTTGTTAATAAAACAACAGCAGCACACTCTGGGCCCACCAGCTATTCTCCCTCCCTCTTTGAACTCTGTTTTGTGTTTAATTAAAAAAAAAAATAGTAAAATTATATATAACAAAAGAGCTATCAAGGCAGAATTACAGTTATAATATCTAATCTTCCTGAAGATCCTGAAAGTTTTATGTATTTAAAATTCAAATTGCTTTAAAAACTAGGTTCTTTCTACATTAATTCATTTACAATTGAAGTATATT